ACTTCTCCCATGTTCCGGGGGAGGCGGGGGACATAAAGTCCGAATGGGCCATGTTCCGCGCCTCCATTGTGGAGGCGGCTGACCGGAGCTGTGGCCGTAAGGTGGTCGGTGCTTGGTGCTTGTCGCGGCGGCAATCCCCGAACCCGCTGGTGGACACCGGTGGTGAGGGATGCCGTCAAGCTGAAGAAGGAGTCCTATCGGGCCTTTTTGGCCTGTGGGACTCCGGAAGCAGCTGATGAGTACCGGCAGGCTAAGTGGAACGCGGCTTCGGCGGTCACTGCGGCAAAAACTCAGGTATGGGAGGAGTTTGGCGAGGCCATGGAGAATGACTTCCGGACGGCTACGAGGAGATTCTGGTCCACCATCCGGCGTTTCAGGGCGGGAAAGCGGTGCAGCATCAACACTGTTTATGGTGGGGATGGTGCGCTGCTGACCTCAGCTCGGGACATTGTGGATTGGTGGAAGGAATACTTCGAAGACCTCCTCAATCCCACCGACATGCCTTCCAATGAGGAAGCAGAGTCTGGGGACTTGGGGGTGGACTTACCTATCTCTGGGGCAGAAGTTGCTGAGGTGGTTAAAAAGCTCCTTGGTGGCCGGACCCCGGGGGTGGATGAGATCCGCCTGGAGTTCCTCAAGGCTCTGGATGTTGCGGGGCTGTCTTGGTTGTCATGCATCTGCGACATTGCGTGGACATCGGGGGCGGTGCCTCTGGATTGGCAGACCGGGGTGGTGGTCCCCATCTTTAAGAAGGGAGACCGGAGGGTGTGTTCCAACTATAGGGGGATCACCCTTCTCAGCTTCCCTGGTAAGGTCTATTCGGGGGTGCTGGAGAGGAGGGTCCGTCGGATAGCTGAACCTCGGATTTAGGAGGAGCAGTGTGGTTTTCGTCCTGGCCGTGGAATAGTGGACCAGCTCTATACTCTCGGCAGGGTCCTGGAGGGTGCGTGGGAGTTTGCTCAACCAGTCTATATGTGCTTTGTGGACTTGGAGAAGGCATTCGACCGCGTCTCTCGGGGAGTCCTGTGTGGAGTGCTCCGGGAGTACGGACTGCCGGACTGCCTTATAAGGGCTGTTCGGTCCCTGTACGACCGGTGTCAGAGCTTGGTCCGCATTGCCGGCAGTAAGTCGGACTCATTCCCGGTGAGGGTTGGACTCCGCCAG